AAAAAAAAAAATCTACTTACAAAGTTGAGTTTTGCCAGGTAATTCATATCCACATACTTCGGATTTCGATATTTCCTTGTCGAATACATAGTACACCCTTCATTATAATTAGTCGTGCTTCAAAATTAGTCGTGTATCGTACTTAAGAGATTATTTAGGGTAGCATTACCTTAATTAGTCATGCATCACAAATAATCGTGCACCATAATTAGATGTGTAGCATGCTTGATCATTCCAGCGAGTGGCTAGCAGCCCTCAACTCGGCAAGCAAGCTGCTCAAGCCGTGCCACAACAAAATAAATGTCCGAAGAAGGAGGTTGCACACTGCAGCAGGTTGTTGCTGTCGCTGACGGCGAGCGATATGTGCAATGGGTGGAAGGAGACATGATTGAAAACGGTGAAAAATGCCTCTCTGGGCGCGCCATTGCACAATTTCCAATTTTTTCGCTTCGCTGACCGTCGTGTCAGCGTAAACAAGGCAAGAGGTAGGTGGAAAAAGCGCTCCTCGCTTCAGCTAGCACTAAATAAACAAGGCCAACATAAGTACGCAAGAACGGCGCTCGGAGGTCGACATCAGCTCATTCACAAGGCCCTCTCGGGTCGTGGCCGCAAGATAGACGGTCATTGGGAATGGCTCTACCCTCGACTTCTTACCAGGTTTGAGAGGCTTAGACGTGCGGGTGTCAAGCTTTCTTCCCGCCTTCTTATGTACATGGCCACAACTATGATTGAAGATTCAAATCACCCGCTCTACAACACAGCTTTTAAGTTCAGCGGCAAGTTTTTTTCTTTTACTTATTACCCACGACGCATTCAAGATTTTACAGAGCGTTATAATATCGTGTACCGAAAATTAAAAAGGCAAAAAACAAGTCAGTGATGCCAAAATGGAACTGATCGAGCGGTCTATTGCTCGGCACTTGGGGCCTTTTTGATGATGGACAGCTGGACCCTGACGAGCAGTACAATACGGACGAAAGTCACTTTGTCATAGCCCTAGAAGACGGTAAGACCCTCGACTTTCGTAATGCAGATAAAGCTAAATACAGTAGCATCGTTTCAGGTACGAAGTACTGATTTAACCATGTTTAAGTATCTGCGTCATTTGAAGATTATCTATGTACTGACCTTATATTATTTTATGACAATAGGTCGGGAAGGTATAACTATGTGTGTCTTAATTCATGGTGGTGCCAATGCCAAACTCATCTGCCCAATGCTGATCTTCGAGAACACCAATTTGAGCTATCCTATTCAAGGTCTCCCGGGTTGAGGGTCTGCTATCGTACATCCCCGAGTGCATTCATCAACAATCGCATCATGATTGAATGGCTGCGCGAGACGCGCAGTTGGGGTCCAGCTGGCCCGTTCACTAAAGAATGCCAGTTATGACTTGATAACGCTAGTGAACATGAAGGTGAAGAGATGCAGAAAGTTGCACGCGAGCTACGAACACGCGCGCGATTTTTCCCGCCTAACACGACCGATTTTGTGCAGCCAGCAGATCGCTTCCCAACTCAGCGAATCAAGGTGCACTGGCGAAACCTATGTGAGCGTCGCAATATGAAGGCTATTAGACGGGGGGAGTGGATGCAAGGCGCAAAGTCAAGCGGGGCACTTGCCAAATTCTGAAATACGTTTCTCCTTAGAAACAGCGGCAGAGTGTATTCGCCTCGTCAATGCTGAAAAAGACGAGAAAGGGGTGATCTGGGCAAAAACGTCGATGGTGTTATACGGCCTAGATGTGGGCAACAACGGGAAGTGGGAGGCAAATCAGCTAAGTAAGTCGTTGCAGGATATCATTGTGAGATGCTGTGAGGATTTCAGTACATGATATCAGGAGGCTGCTGCGAGTGCATCAGTGTAATAAAAAGTCTAATGTGGACTTTTAATACCACCATAATTAGTCGTACACCACTATTAATCATGCACCCTAATTAATCGTGCGCAAATTCTCCTTACAGAATGAATCACCATATTTAGCTAGGGTCAGACTCATTAGAGTGAAGGGTGTATGTACAGTGCTAGTGCTAAATGAATTCATTGTGTGTTTTAAAGGCAATTTTCGAAGGGCTACGAAAAAGCACGCGCACTCGAAGCCACGGTAGAACACGTAGCGATAAGAGTGCACTAACAGCAATTCTCCGATAGCACCACGGTAGAGCACGGAGTACGGTCGACGGACCAGGCATAAAGCCGCGGGAGACTATTAACGGGAAATCACCGAGTATTGGAGCACGACACCAGGGTGGAACCGGATCTTACTGGGGAGCGCGATACTACTGTAGATAACGAAAGCTTGGAGGACAGACCAGCCGCGACGCCAAGCGATAGCACGATAGCATGGGCGATTAGACAGCCGCTAAAACATGGGAGAACAAGCAGCCACGGGAAGTCACCGAGCCACTGAGCACGATAGCACAGTAGAGCCTGAGATCGCCGGACCACTGAGGACGATACTTCATTAAAACACGTTTACCAGGACGGCCGACCAGCCACAAAATCGCGAAGAAACGCTTCTGGAGACCACAATTGCACACCGCGGACACGGAACCATCGTAGAGCGCGATAACATTGGTAAAACATATATACTATGCAATCACGATAACATAGACAGCATAGCCACATTGGGATTGCACGATAGTGCGACAACGCGGTAGATGGAGCCACGACAGGGGTGCGCGGCACACAGGTGACAAAAAACTTCGGAAAATCACCCATTGGCGAGGGTACCGGAAATGGAACGCTATCGACCATAAATGATTATGGACACGAAGTCTGTGGAATACACGTAAACCCTTGAGAACACGGAATATCTAGCAGCCACGAAAGAGGGTCGTACTACGGGAGCACATGAGACCAAAAAGGCTAGCACACAACCACTAAGCACTGTGAGAGAATGAGTTCACAAATCCAGGACAATCACTAAGCAGTATGGGCTGTTTTTGTTGTATAAATTATCTGAGAGTGAGGTAACTGACTGAGCTGCCAAAACGCAGTACATGTACAATGAAGCTGGCCGTACGAACTGACGGTTAGAACAACGCTGCTAATAAACGTTGTCACTTGATCCATAATGATAGATAGTCTCAGACTGAACAATGTACACACATGTGAAGCGCTTTGTTTTAATAAAAAACTTGAAGCGAACATGAAAAGGTGAAAATACAATTTTCGAAGTTAATCGCTTTATTTGAATAAAGCAAAACTATCGCTTTATTTGAATAAAGCAAAAAGTTACGTTTGATGCATTTGTAAATGTTCCATTCAGCCAAGTGAAATACTTGCGTTAACGGTAAAAAAAAAGTTGCTATTCAGCTCTAAAAAAGTAGCTATAGAACGTAGTGTGCTTTCATTTTTGATGAAAAACGAGGAAATTACAGCTGCTTTCATTTGTAAAATGTAAGAGCTCGATACCTACTTTTTTGTGCGCCACCAATGATGGGGTTGAATTAATCCCAATTGGGCTGTACGTACTGTACTACTATTCGTAGCACTACCGGGATAATATGAATTTATTCGGGGCATCTTTGGTGTGTGCTCCTTAGTTTTACTGTTTAGGCGTCTGCGTGCATTGTTTCTTGCAGAACTACATGTACTAAAGAGGAGAAACTTAGACAGCTTCGTCGCTACTGAATTTACCGAACGGCAAAGTCGGTGACGGTAACTCTTTTGCTATTTTACAAGATAGTGACCTCGACGCAGAGTCCTCGGAAGCCTCCGTCGTGTTTCTCGGGGGATACATGACGAATAACACCACTTGAGCGATGTACACCAGCATACCAATAGCATTTAGAACTACGACAAACATGTCATCATCAGCAAAAGCGAACACGGTCCACACGGTGGTGTTGGTGAGGAAAATGGCGCTGATGATGATCGGTAACGTCGTTGCGTCTTTCGTCTGGATCACTTGCTTCATCGCTTCCAGTGGCGAGGCGTACATCACCAAACTGACGATGTCACTCACGACCCCGAGAAGCTTCTCCACAGCGTCGTCCGACTGATTTGTCACCCCAGTCGTCCCCAGGATGTAGTAAATGGCATAGATAACCAACACTGCAAACGTGATCGCACAAACCTTGTGGATGTGGGTTCGGTCCTTACTATAATGGTAGTAGATGGCTCCGAAAACGACGGAAGTGAACATACCAAAGCAGCAGTTGACGAAGAGCGGCAAGATGTTGTCGACGAGGTAGGCGTACAGGACCCAGACGTAGCAGTTGCAGAAGATCATGACTACGGGCAGGATGGAGGATGGTCCAGTTGTTTTGGTCTTGTACATCCTCCAAAAGTCTGGGGCTGGGGACAGAGCGACGAGAACCGCTGTAATGGTGGAGATCACTCGGATGACATCGAGGAAGGTTGTCGGTGGCAGGGAATTAAGTTGGCCGTAACAGAGAGCCGTGGGAAAGGAAAGTGGTGCTTGCGTAGTAACTTAGCATCGGAGACCCCAAATGTGCAGAAGTTTTGCATTGAGAGCTCTAAATTTCTGATAGTCGTCATCTTAGTTGAGTGGCGATTAACTTCATCTGAGTGTTCATCCGACCACATCATCAATGATCAAGATGTACTTCGAAGTACTGTGTTTTGTGAAAGGACAATTATTCTGTACAATGCTGCTACGTCGCAATACATTATCATCCACAGAAACGAAAAAAACACCGCTCGCTATTCTTAAAATAGTTGCAGCTTGGCGCAATGAGAATGGCCACATTATAGTTCTTCTTTTATTATTATCCATATCCACCAAGCCCTCTGGGTAGGTATAACCTGAGCTACATGTTATGCTTCCATAGAACTCCTAGGACAAGCTTCTGTCAACGTGCAGCCATCTTTGGCAGCGTGTTGAATGAATCAAGTGTTCGCATAAACCTGTTCACAATGTGGCTACATGTAGCCATGTAAAAAATACCGTAAATTACGCAATTCGGGGTCGCACAATAATGAGGCCGAGGCTGGCGCTGCTGGCGCTACTAGGAGTGCATGTCACGTCAGCTATGAAGCAGTCGTGGGTCTTCGAGAGCGAGGACCGCTCGCACTTTTTCATCGAGCGCTTCGGCTTCGGCCCCAGCGGTCGAATGGACGTGAGCGTGTCCGCCGTGGCGATGGAGGTGCCCGAAGACGCGGAAGAAGTGCAGGCAGGACTGTTGTTCGTGCACCAGGACGATCTGTGGGAGACCGTGGCGCTGCTAGACGACGCAATAGGCAGTGGAGACCTGGAGCTGCCCCAAGCCAGCCAGCAGGGAGACCAGTGTGTGCTGCAACGGCGTCCGGACAGTCAGTGGATCGATATGACCGACGCGCAGACCTGGTACAGTGCTATTGATCAGGTATACATATTTTATTTTATCGGATCTGATTCTGGTCATTTCATTTCTAGGAACGTGAGTCGAGGTACTGCACACGTGCAGCTCGACGGTCGAGAAGGCGGACAACACAATGGACCTTTGAGCGTCGGCTTCTACTACATTTTCTACGCTCACTGTACTCCTGGGCTCAAGGTTTCATTCCATGTGAGTCGGAATAAATTACTTATCGAATTTTATTTATCGACTAATTTATATTTTTTTATTCAAGATGGACGCCATGTTCAAGAACGGAGCGACGGATTTTCTATCAGCTGGAGACGCTCCGCTCCCAGTCGTGTATGTCCTCACCAGTTTCCTATTCTTCGGAGCTGCAGTAGTCTGGGGGAAATGTCTTTGTACCCATCTGGAGTACGTCCAACGCGTGCATTGGCTCATGGCGACGCTGGTGTCTGTCAAGACGCTGGCTTTATTCGCTGAGGCCATGCGCTCGTACTACATGAAACGCAACGGCGACACGCTCACCGCGTGGACGGCAGTCGTGTACGCGTTTATGAGTTTAAAGGGGTTATTACTCTTCTCAGTAGTGATGCTCATCGGCACGGGCTGGTCGCTACTGAAGCCCCATCTATCGCCACGAGATAAGTCTGTACTCTCGTTAGTGTTAGTACTACAAGTGGTGAGTAATCTCGCTCAGATTCTCGCGTCCGAGACCGCCGTGGGGACTCGCGCGTGTGTGAGCTGGCGAGACGTTCTCGTCCTTGCTGACGTGGCTTGTTGCGCCGCTGTGTTGCTGCCTATTGTCTGGTCGATTCGCGAGCTGCGAGCTGCTGCTGCCACCGACGGTAAAGCCTTCGCCAACCTGCAGAAACTCACACAGTTCCGCTCGTTTTACTTGCTAGTTATCACTTATATTTACGTGACTCGACTGGTCCTACAGCTGCTACAAGCGAGTTTACCGTACGACGCGACGTGGATCGCTGTGGCAGTCGGCGAGTTGGCGGCCTTGGGATTCTTCACCGTCACCGGCTATCGGTTCCGTCCGTTGCCCTTGAATCCGTATCTGGAGGTGCCGATGCACGAGGACGATCTCGAGGAATTCGCGCTGGATGACGACGAAGATTTGGACTTCCGCTCCGCTCAACGGACGGAAATCCACAAGTTTGCATACAACGCCCCAGTGAAAAGTCAAGCGAGTTACTCGATCAAACGCTCGAGTGGTTCGAACCGTGCGAGTTATGCCAAGAAGCGGAGTGGGAGCATCAACAGCGACCTGTAAAGAGAACGCAATAGATGCCTGGGAACGCACCGGATGAATAGAAATTACGTTGAGTTTTATTGTTATTTTTTAATGGTTTGATGATGCTCCGATAGCTAGCGTTAAGTGCTGCTGAAGCTCGAGGAAACGCGATTCCGAGATGACGTTAAGCTGCATATAAGGATCCAGTTAATATGTTAAATAAAAAGATTTATAAAGAGATTGACGTACGTATCCGTTGCCGATCTGGACTCGTTGCCACTGTGTGTGAGTCTCAAGTTTTGAGGGATATGCCACGTCTACTAATGACGCGTCACGGGCAGGTAACACCTTGACTACGACCCCCACGAGTGTCGGTACTGCAACATTCTCGGAGGTGCATTTCGAGGCGATTCGAGGAACAAGCTCGTGATCCATGACGAGAAGTTGCACGTAATTTTCTACGGCGGGAAACGAACCGATTCCTGTGAAGGGTGTGGGTAATACCTGAAGTAGTCGCAGTGGTGGAGAGTTGATGGCAGTGCCATCCTGACGTACAGTGAGCCATTTGTCTTTTGTGAACTGCTCTCCGTGGACGTGAACTAACAGCTCGACGTCTTTCGAACCGCTGTCTCGAGCTTCCTCCACTCGAGCCAAGTACAAAATACGCCTCCAAGGAATCCACACGAAGCACCCGACTGGGAAAGGTGAAGATTGAGTGATCATGGAACCAACAGCACTGAGATCGAAAGTCTACAAATGCGCTATAATAGATGTTGGACAGAATAAGAAGTGGTTCAATTGTGAATGTCAGGACAAAAATATCAAACTATTTCTTAGATAGCTTAATTTCACTCTTTTAACCTAAACGTTTAGTAAAAGTACCCTGCAATCGCAGGATACCGGTAATATCGTCAAAATTCACTCCTTGAAAAATTGAGCTCACTCACCAAGTTACTTGGTCCAAGTATGACCAATTATACCACCGACTTTTGTACTCGTTAATCTCCATTTGCTGCATTTCTTGCGCCACTCACGCTTTTAATGGAGTCGCCGTACTTCCCACAGGAAATGCCTATGAGTATTCTTCACGTTCTCTCCACCGCTGCGGCGATCCTGGCAGTGCTCGCTCCGTTTCCAGACTTTTGGCGGATTTATAAGACCCGCTCCACAGGCTCCGTCTCCGTCTTATCAGTCGTTCTCATCTTCTGCAACTGCTACGCGTGGGTCATGTACGCGCGTCGGGTGAACTCGATCCCTCCGCTCTTCGTGGCGTATGCGGTCGGTATGCTTGCATCGATCGCCTTTGGAGGGATTTACTACCACTGGACGCGAGACCACGCTCACATCCACAAACTCTACGGGGCTGCGTTCTACCTTCTAGCGGGATATACGCTATACTACAGTCTTGGGACGAGTGGTGCTACCAACCAGTCGAACGAAGCAGTGGCAAACACGCTCGGAGCTGTCAGTGGTCTCATCAATTTGGCTCTGTACGCGTCGCCATTGGAGAGAATCCAGAACGTGGTCGAGACGAAGGACGCGTCGACGTTTCCGATCACACTCAGCGCCCTTTTCCTAGTGAATGGTGTGATCTGGGTATTGTATTGTATAGCGCAAGATGACATGCTACATGTAGTGTTGGTCCCGAACGCACTTGGGGTCGTCTTGTGTGTCGTTCAAGTGGGGCTATACGTCGTGTATAAATTCTGCAACTCGTCGACGGACATACAGCTAGTGGATGAAAGTTATACCTTACGCGAAACTTTGACGAATCCTGAGACTCAGGAGTATTCCAGGACTGCAGTGAGCTTGGAAAATATCAATTAATATATTACTTACCACGTTTCCCATTAGTTTAAGAAAAAATAAACGTACAAAATATTCTTTCATTTTTCCTAATACTCGAACGCCCACGAGTTTTTCTCAAGATAATCCTGAATGGCGGCTTTTAGACAAGTGTTGGGTCGCAGCATCTCTAGCGTTAATCGCTTGCGCGTTAGCGGGTCTATCGCGCCGTTATGACGCAAATGATCCTCCAAACACTGTCGTTCGTATCTAAAGCCAACGACACAGAAAAAAATATTAGTACTAAACTTAAAAAAAAAACACTGTCCACCCACGTACGAGACGCCATTTGGAGTCGTCACGGGGTCGTGCATGATCTCCATGCTAATAGGACACATGAAGTAGTCGGGCACTTCTCCAGGATACATATCCTTCTCAAACCAGGCGGCCATGTGCTCCACGTACGCCATCAGAGCGTCCGCTTCCTCTGCCCCAGAGCGCCTTGTTTTATCTGAAGTAGCTATGGCTTGTGTAGCCAAAAGCTGGGCGGTATGGCTGGCTCCAAAGAGTTTTTGGAGCTGAATTTTGACCTTCTCGTGGCGTGCGACCCGCTGCTTCTGTGTGTGAAGCCACTGGCGCTTCTTAACTCTTTGGAGCTCTGCGGTGATATCGACTCGGAAAGCTTTGGGCTTCTTAGTCTTCTCCGCGCTGTTGAGCGCCGTCTGTAGCGCCTCCACTGCCGCGTCAAATGCCAGTAGATGCATGTGACTCGTTCCTAGCATGTAGCTGGCCTTCGCATTGAGTGCGTCGAGCTTAAGCGCGACTTCGCAGTCATTGCGGCAGTTTTCCCACTTGTCCAGCTTGGAGTGACACAGAGCGCGGTTGGAATAATATGTGGAGCGACCTGGCGCCATGACCTAACAAGGAGAAGTTGGACGGAGTCTACGGGTCTTTAAAGGGGTGGTAATGAGAGCTTACAATGGCTTCTGTATACATGTCGATGGCGGCGCGGAATTTGCCCTTCTGGAAGCACTGGTTGCCCTGTAACTTGAGCTGCTCGCCGCGGTCCGTGGTGGCCATAGCTGCCTGTTCTCTTCTTCACTTTTTGACTCAAAATGAAATAAATCAAATGTTTTGCGTATTTCTTCTGTTCCGGGTTGAGGTACCGGTATTCACAAAATTAATGCAAGTATGCCCTTTAAGCACGATATGGAATTCGAGAGTTTTCTAAGAACTTAATTTTAGTACTGGTAAAGAAGCTGTAATACAGTGCGCTAGACGAAAACTCGATTTCAAGCCGATTTTTGTCAAATCAAAGGCAATGAATTTGGGCTTTATATCCAATCAGGAGAACACCATTACGGTTCTTTTAACCCTTTTAAAGCGGGGTTTTATTCTGTATTATACAGAATAAAGGTTTATCTTGATTAAACTATTGACAGAAGAATGCAACAATTTATCTAATGGTAGCTGTCTCGCGAATCATGTGAGGTGGACACTGCGAAAAAGTGCAAAGACATCGTTTCTACGGACAAAAACTTCGCAATGTATCCACCATACGCTATTATCTGGGGTTTTGATTGGCTACTGCAGAATAAAAAAAGATCGCAATGTCTTCTGTAAGGTATTTCCCCTCCAAAACGATAAGTGAGATTGGCGGCTTCGCGCCATTTTGGATGGCCGCCGGAGCTTCATCGCTACGCGGCAGAAGTTCGCTCACCAAATTTTCGGCCAGCTCTAGACTAGCAAGAGTAGAAGAAGAACTAGGCTTGAACTGGCCGAAAAGTTTGGTGAGCGAACAGTCTATTGATTTGACTACTAACTAGCTAACTACTGTCTTCTTTCTCTTCGTCAGCGCGCTTACGCTTGCGAAAGCGTATGCGCTTCTTCAGGTGTGCTGGAATCGCAGTTCCGTTTCGCCAGACCTGGTGCCAAATCTGGCTGCACGTGAGCGTGTTGCCGCTATCCTCTCTCCGAACGCGATTACATAGAGGTACGTAGCCGGCGTGGGATTGAGTGCGCTGGGGGCAGAAGTAGCTGCTTTCAAAGCTTTTCGTTTGGGGCGTCGCCATTGCCGAGCATACCTTGCAAAGGTGCTGACGACGTTTGTTCTTCCCATTTCCATCATACATGTCGTTCGTATTCTGCAGGGCGTGTGGCTGCGTTCGAATTGGCTCCGTAATCAAATCCTCTGCGTTGGTGTTTGCACGCAATGTGGCTTCTGTTGTTGCTAAAAGCTCCGTTTGCAGTCTTCGCATGTACTCTGCGTGCGTCGGTATGCGTTCTCCCTTTTTCTTCAAGATGAGTTTGTGCAGGATGAACCCATTGACAATCGCCATGTCAACAAACCCCAAGAATAACTGGCGGTAATATTTTTTGAAAGCCACACATCGCTGTATCGAATATCGCTGCAGTCGCAGCTGGTCGTGCTGGTCGACACCCCCCATACCAGTATGATAATCGGCAACCAGCTGGGGACATGGTACGTCTGCACGAACACTCTCACCCTTCACTCGGCGTCTCACACTAGTCATCGTCGTTGCACATCCAGTCGCAATCATAGACACAGGTTTCGAGTCCATCCCAGACACAGCAATGAGCTCAGGGAAGTCTTTGGCTTGAGCGACGCGATACGTCCCTCGGGGCATACGCTTGGGCCGCGTTTTCTGTGTGAACGCAAAGTTGACTGGCCATCCCAATCTGTCGTTGCGGTGCGTTCCCACGTAGTAGTAACCCCTCCGAAGTAAATCCAGTATCAGTGCACACGAGCTGTAGAAGTTGTCAGCGACAACAAGTCGCTTTGCGGGTTGTCCTTCGAGGGCTTTGTTCACGTTTCGTATAACTGCCTTCTGTGCCGTTCCCTTTGCTGCCGCTGGATTGTTAGCCGCGCCGAGATAAACTTCAATTCTGTAGCATACAGAAGAAGATACAGCATATTGTAAGTGACTTCACTCGTATTCTGTGAAAAGAGGAATTGGCAATCTGTATGATACTGAGAAACACCCCGATACTACTGATACTACTAGCAATTCTGTATCAACGTACCGAGAACAGTAGCCAGTCTCCGCGCAACACGTCATGTAAACCTTAGTCCCGTACTTGTGCGGTTTGTCCTTGTTATAGACGCGCACCGGATTGAACTTGCTCCTGTTTGGAATGGTGCCTTCGTCAAAACTGATTCGCGGCCCCAACCGGTAGCCACGCCGAAATGTTTTCTCGAGTACCTGCAGTACCGGTCTGACTTTCCATGCCTTGTCCTTAGACGCATCTGCAGCGTTGTTACTAGCGAAATGCAGGTAACGAGTGATCATCTTGAATCTGTCTCTCTTCATAAACCTGGAGAACGTTCCACGAGGGACTGCGCCATCTTCTCGAGTAGACCAGTGTTTTTCCAGGCCATCCGTATGAGAACAAAGGGTTCGAGCAACGAGGAGACCAATCACGTGGATAATTTCGTGAGCCTGGATAGGTTTTACTCGCCGTAGCTTCTCCTCAATCTCTTGGACAGAGTCGACCTTTTTTTGGGGATCCTTTGCTTGTGCTTGAAGCTGCTTCTCTCGTTGCTGACGTGCGACAAGCGGGATGCAAGCCTCGCGATACAAATTCGTCTCCTTCTGAATCACAAACCAGAGCTTCTTGGGAAGAAAGTAGAAAAACATTCCTAATGAGGACTCTGCAAATGCTGCTGCAGATCTAGTTGGCCCCCAGTTTCCGTCGTACAACTGCGCGGCTTCAAGAGTCAAATCACCTGTTTTCAATATAATACAGAGTTAGAAAAGAATGAAAAGAGTTATTCTGTAGACGACCGACTTACCAGAATTTTGCTCGTCATAAATGTTCCACCCAGAAGCTCTTAAGCGCCGCATGTCTTCGTCGGCTTGCACAAATAGCTCACTGTCCTCCTCACAGTCGCTGTCAGACTCTACTTCGCTTTCGTAGTCCTCTCGTGGCGACACAGGCACATCCAGCTCATCATCGAAGTCACAACCAATACTGTCGTTGTCATCTTCGGCTTCATCGCACAGATTCACATCATCTACAGCAACTGACCCGAACAGCTTCTCCCCACGTAGCCCATACATGAAGTTCTCTCCATCAAACTCATCAATCCCGTTGAAATCGTCTATTTCACTCTTCGACTCGTCGGCACGTTCATGACCCGAGCGTACATCGTATTCCGGATCCTCCATACTAGTAGTGGTGCTCCCACCTTCTTGCTCTGTATCTGGCTGAATTGCTTGACCTGCTTGAGTCGACGGTGTAGAAGCTGAAGTACGCGGAGGGAAACTCGAAGGAGGAGTTGGAGGAGTAGGCGTCACCTCCAAAGTTGGTGCCGCTTGTTCTTCCGCTGGCAGCACTTCTTCAACCGGCGCACGACGGCGGGCCAACTCATACGCCGCATTCTTTCCCATGGGGATCCTTGCTGGGAGTGATGGCAAAGGTGAGAGCTCCAGCAACCCCTGACGACGTCCTAATGTCATTAGTTCTTGTTCGCCTGCACATATCTGTCAGTACTGTGAGTATATATACCGAGCTGTCTGCAGAACGTACCAACGAAGTATTTAACTCCGCGCTTCTCTGCATCCAAGCGGCCAGTCACACTGGGCATCACGTACGTGAAGTCCGCACTCAGTCCTTTAGGCTTCCTCGCTTTCCATCCTGCCTTGGATAGCTCGCGCCATAACTGCTTGAACGGTTTCTCGTTGGGAGCGTTCATATTCGAATAAATCTGAAATCTGTGGTCACCAACAACTGCCGAAAATAGCAAGAAACTGAATTTTCAAAACCTCCAGTCATCTTATACTGTCTTTTCTATTCAATTCGAATTATCCCCGGCTATCTTCCCTTCGTAGATCCTTCAAGATCGAACCACCCATCTCTACCCTTTACAAACACAAGCATGCGAGGAATTGCGACGATTACAAGCTTGCTGAAAATTATGTCCTGTCATAATTCTTATTCTGTAGAATACAGAATAGCGCTGTAAAAGGGTTCTTTTAAGGTACTGTTTGTTGTAATCCGCAAAGTAACGGCTGAGAAACACTTCAAAATCTGCTGTTGTGTTGGAACACTCTGCGCGAAAATGATAGACGAACAAAATGTATCAGCACTTATCTTCTGTTTTCATGTTTCTAGACAATGTACACTCCGCGCCACGCACCCACGTCGGTCACTCAAATTTTAGAGTTAGAGCGTGCTATTTAGATATGTTGTTCATGTTATCACGCAAAATAGGCTACAGGTGCTAGCGATTGCGATTTTGCAAATTTCTGCCAGGGCTCCAATACAAACAATTGGTTTTGGCACGGCGACACATTAATTGTAACGGGGTACGTAGCCCTAAGTGTACCCTGGTTACACGAAGTGTGACACGTCATACTCCGAGATATTTGGTACAAGGTACCAAGGTCGTTCAAAGCCAACCATTGGTTAAATGACATTGCATTTCTATAGGTAACTAATAGTTTGTATTAAACCCAAACTTAACCTGCCTATAAATATACTCAGTTTACAATCTACCTTATTGGGTCACTTCGCTCTCTTTAATTAAAGAGGGGACCTGTGAACTGCCGTTCACTGAGAGTTTGTATAAGCTCTCAAGATAACTTCCTCTAGCGCAAGGTGCTGTGTGACCCCGTCACACTTGGTAGCACTAGTAGTCAATCCACGCCACCGCGGGTAGACTACCTGAACCTCTCCGAAGTTCGTTGCCATGGATAGGAATGACTTCTCTCATATGAACGACTCTCAGTTCGAGTCGGTTCGGAAGATGGCAGGCATCTTCGGGATGGAGGCCCTGCAGAGCCTGGTGGTGTCAACACCGGCTGAGCAGCTCGAGCGCGTCAATGCATTCGACGCGTACAAGCAGGGCCTCCTCGCGCATGTGCGGGAGAGCCTGCAGGCTCCGGCGGCGGAAGCAAATCCGCCTCACCCGAAGCCAATACGGCTGAAGGTTAAGCCGTATGAAGGGAAGGAAGGCGAGAACCTTCACTTCTGGGTCCGAGAAGTAGAGCTCGCGATGGACGCGGCTCTGATCTCGACCGAGCAACTGCGTGTTGCTTTTGCACTCTCCAACCTTA